GGGGCTGGCTGGCATGTGGTGCTGGTGGATCGAACCAAGGTCCCTGTGCTTTGCTTAGCTTAGCTTGTTCTAAGTAGGTGCTTTAGATCACTGAGCCATCTCACCAGCCTTAAAGCAGATTTCTTGATTTCATTGTTTCCATGGGACATTCTGGGAAAAGAGGCTTGTTCCAAACAGAGAGCATCTGCTACTTCCACCGTCTTTCTCTATCAACCCTCAGATAAAGCTTGCTGAGTGTATTTTCTGTAGGTTAGGATATCAGCAACATACGTACGAGTTAGTTCAGTTTAGGTGACGACACATAGGTTTAGCCAGCACCCTAATTGTTGTCCAGTTTGTTTGCCAAGTGGTCAGGTAGCATAAGGGCTGCACAAGTTGTGTCTCTGAAAAAGATAAAGATCCCAGACAGCAAACAGGATTCAAAACTAGCAGGTATCCTGGAGTACTGGGGATGCAGAGCCCTGCACTGGACATAAGAAAGTTACTGGGGAAGTTACAGAACTGGGGCTTTGCTCCAACATTGTCACTGAGCAAAATGTAGCCCAGTAGCAGGTTATGGCTTCCTTTATTACCAAGGCCTCTGTGGTTTCACACGTGGTTTTTTCTTCCCCCTTCACATGTACTTCTTGAGTTCTCTGACATGATTTGTTTCGATGACCATCACATTCAGGTGCAAGAGATCCACCTCTCTTGCCATTGTACTTCTGTAGTTAGTCCACCTGCCAGGTGAGCGCTCAGTGAGACAGGCTGGGTGAATAATGAGTTCAAGCCTCTTGCAGAGTTGTTGTCAACCCTGGCTGCTCATTACCGAAACTGTTCATGAGTAGGAGCAAGTGAGTGGATTCTTGTTTGGTTTCGGCTTTGGGGGGAGGGTTGAACTCTATAGTTCAGGCTAATGTCAGCAGCAAAATCCTCCTGCCCCAGCCTCTGGGACTACAAGCATGAATCAGCCACACTCAACCCAATACTTGGTATAGGTTTTTTTTTTTTTTTTTTTTTTTTTTTTTTTGCGGAACCAGGGATTGAACTCAGGCCCTTGTGCTTGCCAGGCAAGCACTTAATTCTACTGAGCTATCTCCCAGACCCTCTTGAGCATTTTTGATGTAATGTATTCACATGTGCAGTTTTTCTTTTAAATCCTGGGGAAAGCTGCTTGTTCTCTCACTTCCAAAGTTTGCCTTTTCCTTTCTTGGGCAAGTCCTGAACATAAGCAGAGACACCAGCTCATCATCTCTAGCACTGGATGTCATTCCCCTGGACTTCAGCAGCCTGAGTTAATTAAATGGTTCAGATGAAGTTAATCAAGTTTGGAACTCTCATTTTGTGCAGTGTTTTGATACAATTCAATGAGTCATCTTTTGGCAACGCAGCTCTCCATCCCTGACTGTTTGATCTTAACAGAACAGGTTTATAATCTAAACTGGTAGGGAGCTGCTCTTCAGAAATGCAGTATCAAAAAAGAAGAAATGCAGTGTCAACAGCAGTGTGTACGCGCGTGTCTGGCTATTTAGGAGTGGCGGAAAACAGAACAAAGAGGAGAATTTAATAAGGAAGAATTCATCAGGGGTGAAGGTCAGTCCTGAGGCTGCTGCCTTTCTAGAACATGGGCTTCTTCCTGCCCCCCACCCCCCACCCCCTGCTGGAGTGCTGACATTTAGAAAAGAGTAGAAAAAGCAGCCTCTGTTTGCTTTATTGAAATAAGTGGCCCAACTGACTGGTGCCCTTGCCATTGGCCCCACGAGCACTTCAGATGTGGTCAGTGAGGTATGTAGCCGGTGCCAGGCTTCTGGTCTCTAGCCAGGCAGACTACAGTGGAGCAGGCCAGGGCCCTGGAGAAGCAGCAGGGCCAGCTGCTTGGCTGCCTTTGCTCTTGCTCATGGTGCCATCCTGCTTCTCAGATGAAGCTGGTCTCACCCTCTGAAGACTGATGGGCAAGGTTTAACATGCCCTCCGCCTGCACTGCTCCTTCTCTGAGGGAGTAGTTACTAATGAATGTACCCGTTGTGAGAGTTCATGGCCCATGTGGAAAATGCATCTCACAAAAAATGTGGTCAAATAGGGGCCTTTCTGAATTGAGGACACAGAGCCACACCACTTGCCCTCTTGTTCCTGCATAGGTCTGCCATTTCTCCTGCATTGCATCAGGGTAGAAGCCAGATCTGAGTTTACAGTCCTGCTCTGCCACTTAGCGATTACAGTGAACAGCCACGTAATGTCTCTCAACTTGAATTCCCTCATCGATAAGTAGGTGGTGGTACAGACTGACCTCGCCAGGTTATTAGGAGAGAACGGGTGTTCACACATGCAGCATATTTGGCATGATGCCTGGTATTCTGACACTTTGGGCTCTAGTCCCAGAGCTGCCTTTTCTAACCAAAGGATGAAAAGGTTTATGGTGAAGGCTGAAAAAAAGTTACCTGTATTCCCCGGTCCCTTGTGGCAGTTGTTGTTTCTGCCCCAGTGACACAGGAGAGAATCACGCAGGAGCTTCTAGTGTAGCTTTTTTGCCCCTACCCCTCAGCGCAGTAGCTCTGGTACCCATTTCTTGCTGAGGTTATAGTCCTCTTTCCTGTCAGGAGTCGGTGAAAGAAATAATCACTGAGAGTCCACACAGTTCAAATGAAGCATCTTCTGCTTTGGCTGGACTAAAGCAGATTTTTTTTTTTGGTGGAACCAGGGATTCAACCCAGGCCCTTGTGCTTGCCAGGCAAACGCTTATTCTACTCAGCCATCTCCCGGGCCACCTTAAAGCAGATTTCTTTTTTTTTT